CCAAAGTCTCGCGGTCATACCTGCGCGCGACATCCGCCGGCACTGCCAAGAACTGGTTCTCTTCCTGGCGCAGGTATCCTCGAACAACAAACGTAGCGAACATCAACCGGTACTCGTCTTCGGTGATGTTCGTGCCCCCTCCATGGTACGCCGATGCTAGCATAATGAAGCCATCGCCTTTCTCCATATCGGCGAAGATGCATTGCTCAACCTTTGGAGGCGTAGTGCGCTCTGTGCCCCTGCTTGGCTGTCAGACCTGACCCTAGAAATCGGTTGTTACGAGTTGATTCACCCACCAAAGATGACTACGAGGGATAAACTGCGTCCCTCCATTCTCCCGCGTGACGCGGCACCCAGCTACGAAGAGGCCGACAGCAGACTCGCGCTCCACGTCTCGCACATCATCCCATTGATCAATGTCAGTATGGAAGCGATGATTAATGTAATCATCGCGATGCAAGGGCTGCGCCTTGCCTCCAGGGCCAATTCTCATGGCCGTGCAAGAGTGCACGTACGGCTTAGAGACAGACATCTTCTTCTCGTCTCCCCACCAGTACCATCGCCTGGAGGTCAGGAAATGGTCGCATACCTGGTGAAAGAGAGGATTCATGACTTGGGTTTTAGTGTATGTCGGGCTGTGCGCGATAAGAGATGGGGCGCGTTGAGTTTGTGCTGATCGATGAGCTGTAGCGGTTCCACACAGGAGAGGAAAGAGTCGACTCACCCGGGAAGAAAGAACCATTCCATTCTACGTCTGCATCTAAACGAGGTTTGGCTTCTTGGGAGGCTTGGTCGACATCTTCTTCTGAGATGAGGCCCTTGATGAATACACCTCCGTCTCGTTTAAGTAAATAGATGATTTCTTCCAGGGGGGTGTCTTTGGACACTTTTTGGACTTCGTCGCTGTATTTGCTGGGATTGAATGGCATGTTGATTGTGTTGAACGGTACAAAGAGACAAAATTTACTATTACTTTGGCAATGATCTAGCATATATAGTCATACTTGAACTTAATGTATCTATGAAGAACGCCAGAAGCGGAGTGGAACCCCGCCCGGCGGTGGGAATTACCTAATAGGGAAGTATAGCCAGCCGGCCCGTCATAAATTCATTAACTTGGCAGCAGCAACTCGCCACATCGCATCCTAGCTAGGGAAAAAGAGTTGATCGGCCGAGCAACAATTGGAGTGAGGCTAAAAGAAGGAGAGACGGAGAATTTACATTAGTCGAATATGTAAGATGGGTATAAACATGCTAATGCAATCAGTATCCCCCGGATGCCTCCGCCATCGGCTTAAACTCCACCTCGACAGGCTCATTTCCTATCCCACGCTTCCTGGCGTCCTCCAAAATTGCGACAGTAGCCGTGGCTCCAATGCGGGTAACACCCAAACTCATAACATGCAGTAGATCATCCAACGTACGAACTCCTCCCGCAGCTTTAATCTGCACCTTTTCGCCCGACTTCTCCCGCATCAACTTGAGAGCTTGCACGGTAGCACCCTTGTAATTATACGCGCCATCCGGCTGCTTCACGAACCCATACCCAGTCGATGTTTTCACAAAGGCAACTCCAATCTGGGTACAGATCTCACAGAGACGAGCAATATGCTCAGGTCGTAAGTAATCATTCTCGAAGATGACCTTCAAAACAGCCCCGTTGGAAACCACAGCCTCATTGATCCGGCGAATTTCCTCCGCCACATAGTCCCAATCCTCCCCGACGACCTTGCCGACATTGACTACCATGTCGACCTCGGCTCCGCCAGCCTTGGCTGCAGCGGTGGCTTCGAGGACCTTGATCTCGGTGGTACTGTTGCCGTGGGGGAATCCGATGACCGGACAGACCAGAACGTCTGATCCGGCAAGCTCTTTCTTGGCTAAGGTGATGGCGTAGGGTTTGACGCAGGCAGTTGCGACGTGGTTGTCGCGGGCGATTTTGAGGCCGGCTATGATGTCGGCGTCGGTCATGGTGGGGTGGAGGAGCGAGTGGTCAATCATCTTTGCCAGCTGGGGCAGGGTCACTGTAATTTTGTGTGCCATGATGGAATATTTTTGATGAGATTGTGTTTATCTGTTGTGGAGTATGTATGTCCGGGGGCGCCTCGTTCTTATACCTGGACCCCGCAGAGGTCTCCGGCGGAAACCCTTCCAGATTCGGTAATTTGTTCCACCGGAGCGATCTCAAGGTATATCTGCACTCCAACCGGTTATTCCCTGCTCATAATGGCGCAGCAATATTTCTGCTCTCCATCAGGGTATATAATTACCGTGACTTGGACTCGTATGCTCCCCGTAAAAAGGTGCATCTTCTAGACCCCACATCCAACTTTGCTCGAGAATCGGAAAGCCCTCCGCGGTGGGCCAGAATGACGGGTTTTCTGGGCTGCCATCAGACCCTACTTGGGCTCGAGGGGCATAGTTTGACAGAGCTGTAGACAGAATTAGAATTGATCGAGAAAAGTGTCAGAGAGCAATACCTTGATCAAAGTCTTGAAGGGCGGACGCGAGAGCAGGATCATGCATGTATTGGGCGGATCCATCTTCAGCTGGGATTTCCGGAGCAACTGAGCCTACGACTGCTGTGGACACCCCAGTAGGATCAATGGCATTATTTCGAGCTGCTGGTCCATCGGAGACTTGGCCCGAAATTCTCTGTCTTGATGAGGAATTCGTTATTGTCGGCTCACTTGAACGTGCAGTGGTTGTAGAAGTAGACAATTCCATCATTACACTGAGTTCTTTTTCCATGATCAATTTCACCAAGCGCTGAAGGATAGTCAATCCCTGCTGCGCTGCAACTGAGTGTGTTCGGAGCTTGTCCTGGATGCCGATCAATTTGCGGAGTCCGGACTTGGTCTCGGTAGAGTGTGGACCTAGAGGATCCATGCTGCTGAGGATACCAAGGGTCACGCCTGCTGTAAATGTATGAATGCTAACGAATGAAGCCGCATATGTTTCCGAAACCACTTCTAATAAGGGACTTGACAAAATCTCCGACATGCCGAGCGCTGCATCACGGCAAGCGTTCAAAGAGGCATTGAATGGGTCGACCGAATATGCAGCATCACCATTATACTTGCTGGTTCGCTCTCCAGCGGACAACGTGTAGGAAAGAAGTGGACGGTGAGTGAGAATGCGTGCGTTCTGATACGCAAGCCACAGAGCCAGAGCTTGGAGTTGATAAATATGATTCTCGAAGCGAGGCCCTGAGGCTCCAATATCGCGATCGACTTCTTCGGCAGAGGCATAATGAGACTGGTGAGCGACCCGGCGCCACTGGAGTGGGAGAGGAATCTCTGCTTCCCAATGACGGAGTCGACTGTCGTAGTCGGCAACTTTTCGAACGATTCTTTGGATATCCAGTGAATCTGGATGAGATCGGCTAGCTGCATGCGAACGAACGCGATATAGATCATCCAAGGCTCCCTTCGTGATGGTAGATAGTTTGGTTATGAAGTACTTGTAGGAAAGTAGCGTTGGATCCGACGTCAGAGGTTCATCGAATGAACTTGGAGACTGCATAGTCTGAAGCTTGGCGGATGGATCCAACGGTTCTACGTCGCAGTCATCATCGCGGATACTGTGCGGATACCCATATGCCACGGCAGAAAAGGTTTCAATCTCATACACTGCCCACCAGCATCTTTTGCGAGTTTCATTGCGACTTCGGAAACTAGTCGATTGAACCGGATTCTGTCGGCGGTGTAATTTTAGGGCTTGGGCGATACGAAGCCCACATCCGCATACCGGCCATGCCAGTCGGGGAGCACCATGGTATAAATAATATGTACCAAGTAGAATGCAAGTTTGGACTGCTTCTAAAGAGCCCAAAGACATGATGTCAAGAAGCCCCGATCTCACAGCAGAGAGAATGCGATCCTTAAGGGCAATTTCAACCCCATATCTCGAGAGAATCCCTCGTCGATAGGGCCCGGCGTACTGCAGCCCGACAGAAATTACAATCAGGAAGGTGCTGAGAAAGCCGAGGTGAAGGTGGGAGTATGTGGAAGACCTCTCAGCAGAGCCACTGTACAATTTGGGCCACCGCTGACGAAACTCGTCTTGATAGAAGACCAACATGAACCAGTGCGCTCGATCGAAATATGTATCTACGAGAAGACTGGCCGCGTCAAAGCTGGGTAGCAGGGACGCCAAAACCCCAGTGACGGAAGAGAACGGATCATAAGGCGCGAGTGCGGTTGAAGAGGAAAGATCAGATGTGTCAACGTCAACGCTCGGTGAGGCAGATCTAGGCTCTCGCAAAGGGGCTCCTGGCAGTGCGTCGGTTGCAGGTGGCCCCGGTGCGGCCACATTGTGAAGGTTGAATGCCTGTTCGCGAATAATTGTCAATATCGCTTACGGTGCGAGCCAATACGGGGGCCTCACCCCGCCTAGAAGGGATATAGTCGAGCTTGATATCCAATCACGATCTTTTCGGTGCGGTGGTGTCCCTGGAGTTGGAGTCTCGACGGGACGTTGGTTAGAACCGATGACACGGGGTGAACTCGCTTGGCGTCTCGGGGCACTTGTATTTGGTGCCTGGACTGTTGGTGATGCGGGCGTATCCTGCGGATGCCGGTAGGGTCGCCAGCGGGTTGCCGAACCGGGAAGACAGCGGACCCCGGCGCGGGTGCAGAGGGTACAAGGCCGTTGGATGTCGCACTATCGAAGGGTGAGCAGATCAACGGGCGTTCCAGAGCTTACTCGTTTCAGCGAACCTTTAGCTTCTGACGTCGACAGCGCTGGCATGCGCTGGGGACTTTGGTGGCGGGACTGGCCCTCGGACTAGGGTTATCCTCCATGATGGACGGATGCAGAATAATTGTAAGATGAAAGTTGAAGCATGAAGATTGAAGAGGCAGAGAAAGTGGAAGAGTTGCCGAGTGGAGCAGTTTTCCCCACCGGAAGAGCCTTCCCAATGAGGAAATAAATTGGTCCGTGCACGTGGCTCATCTCGGTTTCGATGCTGCGGAGTCTACTGGTGATCTATAATATACGTCGTTTCATGATAGTGTGTAGAAAACTAGATACAAAGAGCTTGGTGTCACAAGGCTTGATTTCGCAATATACATCCTTCGGAACTGAAATGTGCTGCTAAGACAATTATATAAACCTCCCAGCGTGGACTGCTCCCTGTCAAACTGCATACCAATTAACTCTTTCCGACATATAGACAAACATGATTGAGTAATTGCAGGATCCGATAGCGAGTGAAATTCGTGGAACTCGTGAGCGGCTAGAAGTCTGACCCATTGTTCATCACATTATTCAGCGCTTCGATGATGTCTCTCCGCGAGTCGTTGGGACTGTTGCTGCTATAGAAATCTAGCGCTTCTTGGTAAAGGTCCAGGTGCCCATCATGATACCCTCGAGCATCCTCCATGATCTGCTCATACACAGTGATGTTCCGTTCACGGTGCAGCCCTTCATCAGTGCAATCCCACAACGTCAACATGCCATCCGTGGTGTCCCCAAAGATGTTGTATCGGGCATAGATGGCATCTCCGTATCGCTGCTCTGCAATGGCGGTGCAGTACTCAGTGGCCCATGGTTCCACCAAGTCCCAGGCAGTTCGATTGAGCACCTCCGCAACGGGCAAATCGAGGAACAGCTGCTCGGGAAGGAGACTTTGACCGCCAGCTGCTGCTGTGATTAAGGTCGATGTAATCAGAGAGAAAAGTTGGTGGAAATGCATGTCAAGACTTGATTTGCATTCTGGAGCAAGTCGAGGAACTCAACTTTGCGACCGCGGAATTTAAGCCAAGCCAACTTTAGGCTGCCATTGGTAGTTGCCTAAACTTCTGAATACGACTCATCGCCATAACACATTCATCCAGCAGGTCAATTTGACCATCTAACACTCGGGTTCATTCAGTTCGACATTTTGCCGCGTCTGGAAGAATAATTCCCAGTTCCATTGAAGTGACGCGTGATATACCCTCGCCAGGATGGCCAGATGCGCTGGACCGGAAAACAAATGTTTCTGATCCGTGGTCGCGCTAGTCCAGACACTCGATAGATCCCTTGGCTGGCATTTGCGATCCTGAAATTACGCTCACATACAGGAGGTCCAAGAGTTGGATTAAATAGCCCGACCGTGCCCTAGACACGGCCGCATACCGACCGCGAGCGGAGAAGAATCACAACATTCCTCACGCTCTACTTAATGGCTCGTGTCTCCCCAAGATGGGGTGCAGAATAGCTGTTCCCTGACGTCTTCCAAAATTACACTAAATCTCTCAATTATCCACTAGTCATGCGTGTGGTTGCCATTGTCACCGGGCTCGTCTCCCTTGGTGTCCTGACAGCCGCCCAGGCTGTCCGGCGCGGAGGCCCCGATGAGTTCACTGAGCTCGGCTGCCCCGACACCACCAAGCCGGAGGCCTCTCAGGCCGAACAGCTGGCCGCCTGGGACGACTTCACCAACTTGCTCTACACAGAGAAGCGCCTCACCGACGCCTTCACGAAATATGTCGCGACCGGCTACATCAATCATTCGCCTCTGGTGACTGGAAATGGCATCGACACTACTCTGGGCGAGTTGTCCGCTATTGTCCCCAATGTGGACTCTCAGTTACAGCGTGCGTTTGTCGGGTGGGATAAGGACGGCACTGCATATGGAACTGCTCATACCAAAGTCATTGGTAATGCGACCATGGGGATCCCCAATTCGGCTCTGGTGGACATGATCCGCATGGTGGGGACGTGCTTGTTGGAACATTATGACGTGCAGCAAGCCGTGGATGGCACTGCGCCGAATCCCATCGCCTTCTTCTAAAGGCCTAAGCTACATGTATTGCGTCGGTGAAAGAATTGAGATTACGAGACCCGACTGCAAATACAAGTTTCTGTATGATTATAGTCCGGGTGGCACATGTGAAAGAGTACTATTCGGAAAGTGGAAGGAATGTCATGTATCATAGGAATTTTTCCCTCCTGATTGTATTCCTACATCGTGTATTCTTTGAGATGTATCACTGCATATAAAAAGTCAGTATGTCTAGGCTTCAACGAATGGCTGTCCTGAATGATATCAGTTCGGATATCCTATCCGAAACCCGAGCGCATCAACAACAACCTTGCTTCCCAACTTCGGTCAGTCGAGAACAGGTTGTACTGTGCAGGGCAGCTGTGCTTATCAAGCAACGTCTCTCATGCAATCCGCTCTTCACATGAACACAGACAGTTAGGCAGAAGTGGAGCTTCAGGATGGGAAAGGATCTCCTATCCATCCACTCCGAATACCCCGCGCGGGGTTGTTTAGTCGCAATAAACCCTCGGCTTGTCTTGTTCCCGAGCCATATATCCGTGGTTCTCTCTTCCCAGTCGGATCCCTCCTCATAACCTCAGCATTTATAACCGTCTACATAAAAACACTATGGCAGTCGAACAGTGGGAGACAATTGTGCGGCAGAAGCAGGCTGACGCAGCCGCAAAGATCCCCCAGGCATGGCGGCTACCGGCTGAGTTTACGGAGAATGTGTCCGAAACAACCCCGACCAATGTGCTCGATGTGCCTCGCAGATGTGGCTTGCTGTCTGCAAAACAATTGGAAATTACTGAAAATTATGACGCCACGGCCTTGCTTGAGCAGATTCACTCCGGAAAGTATACCGCTGTTGAAGTCGCCGAGGCGTTTTGCCTTCGAGCGGCCATCGCACAGCAAATGGTAGGCCAAATATTTCCATGGTTGATCGTGATGATATACTTACGGTCGGATATAGACGCGCTGTTTAACAGAAACCTTCTTTGATCTTGCTTTGGAGCGAGCAAAGGAGCTGGACGAGTATTTCCAGTCTACAGGCAAGGTCCGCGGACCGCTGCATGGTTTGCCCATCAGTCTTAAGGTAGATCAACTGTCGCCACAACAATAACTGCTTGAAGATTGACATTGTCAGGACTGCTTCAACGTTGCAGGCGTTCCGAGCACCATCGGCTTCACTGCCTTCGTCGCACACGGTCCCGTTAAGAACAATTCTTCCGTTGTCCAGATCCTCCTGGACCTGGGCGCGGTGCTCTATGTCAAGACGAACATCCCACAGACAATGATGGTATAATGTCTTCCATCGCTACTATCACAAAAGGCTCACAGTATTCAGGCTGCCGACTCCCACAACTACGTCTTTGGTCGCACCCTCAATCCCAACCGAACCAACCTCAGCGCCGGCGGATCATCAGGTGGTGAAGGTGCTCTGATTGCCATGCGCGGATCAATCCTGGGCGTAGGCACCGACATTGCTGGCTCCATCCGCATCCCCGCAATCTTCGACGGCACCTTCGCCTTACGCCCATCCATCCACCGCATCCCGTACGGAGGCCAGACAGGCTCCGGCCGCAAAGGTCTCGCAGGCATCCGACCCTGCGCCGGCCCACTAGCGACCTCAGTACGCGACCTCGGTCTATTCATGAAACTAGTCGTGGATGCCGACCCCTGGCAATACGACTCCTCCACCATATTCAGCACCTGGCGATCCGCACCCCCGAAAAAAACTCTCCGACTCGGCTTCATCCTCGAAGATCCCCACTTCCCCGTGCACCCTCCCATTCTCAACACCCTAACCCGCGCAGTCGACGCCCTGAAAGCCGCCGGCCACGAAGTCATTAACCTAACCACCCCTTCTCTCAAAGATGCCCTCCTTCTCGGCTTCCGAACCTTTGCTATGGACCCGGCACGAACCGCCTTCAGCCACATTGCTAAAGGCGGCGAGCCACGCATCCCTGCTCTGGCCACTACTGACCTACCAAGCGCGGATTTGCCAGATGAATGGGCCCCACATACACTCGAGTCCCTTTATGATTTGAACGTACAGCGGGAGACGATCTGTGAGCAGTTCCGACAGCTGCTTGTCCAGAACAAGATCGACGCGATCATTATGCCGGGATATCAGGGCACCGCGGTGGCACATGATGCAGTGGGATGGGTGCCGTATACTGTTTTGGCCAATGTTTTGGATGTAAGCCAAGTGGATCCTGGGTAAAGGTAACTCGGCTGACAAACACAGTATCCGGCTACGATCATCCCGTACAGAAAGGCAAACAAGGCTGATGACGCCAAGTATGTCAGGGATGTGACGTACCGACCGCCTTGTAAGCTCTTCCCTACACACTCACCGAGGTCTAGACAGTTCTAACGCTTCGCAGATGTCGCAGACGATGTCGAGGGCGCGCCATGCTGTGTGCAGCTTATGGGAAGAACAATGCACGAGGAGGAGCTCCTGCGGGATACTGCGACCATTGCCAATGTTTTGGGGGATAAAGTGCACTATTAGGCAAAGGGTATAGCATACCTAGAACTGGACAATCCAAATCACATTGAACAGTAACAACTTGTAATTCAGAATCTTGTTCTTTCAGTAATAATTCATGCTCTCAAGGTAGAGTTGTTAATACATATAACACATCACATCGAATCTAGTACAGAGGCAGCTTGTACGCATCAAAATCATACACCCAAGTCTTGTACGACTCCTCATCAAACACACAGTCCATGACGGTGCCATTGTTCTTCCACAAAGGGCGCAAGGGCCACGCGCACAACTGCTGCTGCTCACCCTTCCGCTCACCAGCCAGCACGGTTGCATTCAAGCGGGTTGGGAAGACGCCTCCCTCGACCCACTGGATGAGCGTCTCGAGGGTGGTTTGCGGGAACGGGCCGTTAGGTTGGGTAGTGCTCGACGCGCAGTGCGCCGCACCCGGGATCAGATACAACCTGTTCCACTCATTCAAAGCCTGGGAGCTCTCGTTGAATGACATGCCGGGGTACATGATCTGACGGACGGATTCGTGGTAATGCACGGACGAACCAGTCGGGATACTGGGGTCGGACTCGCCATGCACATGAATGATCTTTCCTCCGGCTGATTGGAAGGGTGTCAAGTCGGGCCAGGTGGTTTGGAGGCTGTCCTCGTAGCGCTGCCATCCGAGCTCCATCCACTCCTTCAAGGTATCGTACGTGACGTTATCCAGGCTGGAGAGGTTGTCTGCATCGCGCAGTTCCAGGAAGCGGGCGACCCATTCACCGCCCAGGGAGGTGATATCCAACTCCCACTTTCCGGTGTCATAGTTATACTGGGTCTGAGCGTCGTCAAAGGTAGACGAGGGTTGGTACCAGATGTAAGCGCGGCGGCCGTCCAGGGTGCGGAGCCCGTCGAGCATCTTACTGGCTGCGGCAGCACCGATAGCAGAAACAGTACCGTTCTGTGCGGGGGTGGTGTTGGACATCGAAGTGCGCTTCTTGAGGACTGTAGTGGTGGTAGATGCCGGGCAGGAGTAAGGAGCACCAACAGTCGAGTTGACGTTGAAATGCAACTTGCACAGATCGGTACGGGCCACCACGCCATCGACACGGCCATCCAAGGCATCGCATGCCGCGATGGTCAAGTTGACGATCTTTTCCAATTCGCAGGTAGGAGGGTAGTAGCCCAGAGTGTGCTCAACCACGTCAGGGTAGAGGTGGTTCACTTGTTGTTGACCGTACCGGAACGCAGGGGCACCGATAACGGCTCCATCCCACTGGTCCGCATAGCGTTGCACCTGACTCCAACCTTCGCGGCCACCCTCTGAGCAACCTTGGTAGTAGGCGTAGATCTTGGAGTCACCCAGACTGTAGAAGTTGCGGCTGAAGGCTTTTCCAACGATTGTAAGTTCGTGATGAGCGAGGTAGCCAAAAGAATACAATGCCTCGTAGTTGATGGTACCATTGGCTTCGAGGAA